TAATTAAAACGAAACCTCCCTCCTCAGAAAATTTAAAGGGGTTTAATTATTATCTGCCACTAATGTATAGTTGTATGTGGTTGGTGTAGTGTAGTGGATAATTCCTCTGCCTTCTATGCTCTAGACTGGTGTTCAAATTCCCTGCCTGGGTAAACACCCTACACTATACCAATAAGAATCCTTGGGTAAGACTCCTAACACTACCTTCACCTGCCTGTGCAAACTGATCAAATTATAAGTTGATGTGGACAAAGGTGTCTGCCAAATGCCATTAATTTAGCCTATTGTATTATGTAAAAATGTTTTAATTTAACATTATTTTTGAATAGCTCCAGCATTCACATAATATTTCAATATTCATTTTTAACCTCAAGCACACCAGCCGTGTCTTTCAGAGAGAAGGTGTGTGTCACAAGGCTGCAGTGTTCTAGATCTTTCTGTGTTTCACATTCTTATTTAGATTTATTTATCAGCCGTCGTGTTGAAGCTCTTAATCGTTTTAGATCATTTAGTACATTCGCAGCAACAGAGTCATTCATTGCTGCTCTGCAAAAGAACTAACTATATTCAACACATCTAATATTTCTATTAAATTGTGACGAGGATGTCATAGGACTGCAGTACCTGTCTGCTCTGTTACTGTTTACTTAAAGCGATTTTATCAAATGAAACTATCCTCACTGCCAGATGATTTCACTTTATCAATATTATCTTCTGTTTGCTAGATATACATAACATTTTAATTACTCTGATTGTGGTACATGCAGATATGAACCCCTTAACAAGCTGTGGCCTGTATTAATTAAGCAGTAGAACCCGAGAGGGAGTGTGTTATCAGTGTGTGTTAGTGTGTTAGCTGTGATTTGGTCACTGTAGATCATCACAGCCGTGATGTTATTGCTTTTATACAACAGTTAAATAAATACAGTAATAAATTAATAAAGTGGGCCGTGAACGCGGCGTTTAATATGTTTTAATGTTCGCAGTTCCTTCACCAAGTTATAGTTCCTTAACGAGCAGCTTGTTGCTACGTCAGAGTAACGAGCTCTGCCCACTCGCTGCACAGCCGGCAGTTCGTTCTCCAGCTCCTCACACTAAATTCCCACACTGTCATCACCACTGAGCAGCTTTTCAGTCGGCAGCTGTGACAGAAGAACAGCTGAACAACCTGGAATCAGAAATGAACCCAACACCATTTGCCAAACGTGTAGTCTGATCTTCAGAGTCCGACCAAATCAGACTGAGCCATAAAACTGCCGCAATATCAAGTTCAGCTCAGTTTTGTCAGTTTTTCCAGATCAGTATTAGTGTTGTTTTGTTCCAGCCAGTCTGTAAAGCATCTTACAGCCCATTTAGTTTGGCGAATGGTGTTGGGTTCATTTCTGGCTGATTCCAGGTTGTTCAGCTGTTCTTCTGTCTCAGCTGCCGACTGAAAAGCTGCTCAGTGGTGATGACAGTTTGGGAATTTAGTGTCGTCTCATCTTCAGAGTCTGACCAAATCGGCTGTCGGTCAAATGTGATCTTAAAAGTGTCCATTTTCTGTTTGTGGCAAAGTAAGAAGTAAAAACGTTCAGATGTCTTGAGCGTCTCCTACAGCTGTCAAAGTCGTTGCTTAGCAACAGCGTCTCAGCGGAGTGATACAGTGTTTTGGTGAAATAACAGCACGGTTAGAACGCTTCTCAACCAATCAGCTTGCGTGGCCGGAACTAACTGTTGTATAATAAAGTATTATTACACACTTCTATAACCTAAGAATAGCTCAACCAGTTTGCACTGAAGTCCCTGTAGTAACAGAATACTAAGCCTGAGATTTTAAGGGGTAAAGGGGTTAGTCAGGGAACATAACTGAACCATAATCCACTGAAATGATATGTTCTAAGCTGTACTGACTCCACACACCCCGTCTCGCCTCCAGGCTTTTATTTTACTGTTCTGTTTAAAACATTCGGTTATGAAAAGGTACAAATACGAACTTTTCACCTGGAAAAACTTATTTAAGGTTCACAATCAGACCTTAAAACCACTGTTGGAGCTTTGAGGGAACATTTACATTGTTTGGACCTTGACGAACGAAAAATGTACCTGAACAGAACCTTTATTTCACATCAAACCTCATCATTCTCGCTGTATAATACTGCAGAGCAGATATTGTCATTTAAAGCTGTTTGTTAGGCTTGTGCCAGTTTAGATGTGTTAAAGATCCCCAACTGATTTAAACTGTGGGTGCGTTATTTGACTGAATGTGTTCATTCTTCTTATTTTTATATATTATTTTTACTTGTTCACCTTTATATTGTAATCAGAATCTTGTCTCTGAGGTGTCAGAAGTCATTATGTTTCTAAAGTAACTGGATCTCTGAGCAGACATCCTGTATTGTATCATATGTTATCAGGGTTGGGATGTAACACAATACAAGTATTAGGGAAAATATTCAGAATGTAGAGATTAAATATCTGTGTTCAGTCCAAGTTCCATTTAGTAAAGGCAGAATTCAGAATACAGTTACTTTAAACATCTTTAGGTGAATTTTTATTTTTAGAATACTAACCTACCCAGTTAAAACAACACAGTCTTAAAAAGAACCATCAACGCTACACTCAAAAAAGAGTCCTATATAGAAACATTTGCATGCTTAAATAGTTCTTTGCATGGTGGAATGGTTCTTCAGATTGATGGAGAATGTGTTGCATATGGTTCTATATAGCAGCGAAAGGGTTCTGCTATTGTTTCAAGCTTGGAGCAGTAACACACTTAGTGTTACTTTTTTCTCATCATTATTGGGCGACATGACTTTCATTCTCTTCCATTTCGCTCTCAAATGGTGGGAGTCCAATCAGGTGCATAGCTAGAACCTTAATGGGGTGGCCCAGAGGTTTTATAGGAAAAAAATAACATTACCATATTAAAATAGCATAAAAAGTGATGCAATATTTTTTCTTTGTACATAACTGAATTTCTCCACTGATTAAAATATTGCATCGATGCAATTATTGCTGATAGTAAACTGAAAGACAAAACTGTGTTGAAGTCTTTCATGAGGATATGATGTATTTGAATAGACAAACCTAAATCAAGTCACTTTCCAGTGCAACGTTAATCTTAGGGAAAACATTTCATACACAGGCCAAAGAGGTGATTAATTTAGGCTGCATTCATTGCAGGTTATACAGTCTGAAGCCAGGCGCACTCTGTGCGATTTTAGCCCGATTCAGTCGGAGCTGACTGAATTTCATGATCGGGCTGAATTTCAGCTTCATCGGCCGTCGTTTCCCGTGCGGTGTGAGAGGGGAAACGATGCCCGATTAGCTGCCCAAACGAGCTCTGGTTGAGCAGTCGGATGATCGGATGGATTTCTGACATGTCAGACATTTTGGTCGCTTGTCTCACAGTCTGAGCCGCCTCACAAACCGATTTCTCAAAGTCGCACCCAAAACCACACACAATCACACCTACCGCTCCTGCACGGCGGCGAAAAGGTCCACATTTGTGGCTCCAGTGTTGAAGTTGAGTTGAATTGCTAGGTATATATAAATACAGTTTTTTTTTGTCTGAACTGCCTGTAGAGCCGCCTGCTCTTCAGCTTCAGTGCACAGTGAAAATGATGTCAGACTCAGTAAAACGTCCTTCACATGTCCTTATTAAAGAAGGCCGAGAGGAAGACGTCGTGTTCTGAGACACATAAGCTGGACGTCCGTCCCACCGCCGTCTTTTAAAGACCAGAGCATAAACTTCGTCTCCTCTGCAGACCAGTTTCTGCTCTGCCATGTTGGACGGTATAAACTCTCACTATGACGCGACGAACATGATCAGAACGGACTTAAACTTTCTGATAGGGAATGTAATCAGATACAGGCGTTTACACGGATATTATTCTTCTATTTAACGGATTATTTACAGGATTACCCACCTCGATCAGTCGGATAGAAACTGTATTCTGAATGGCCTCAATCAGACTAGACTATTCCGACTGAGGTGTTTACATGGATGTATTCCATTCTATTCTGAGCTATTAGTCAGATTATTAACGGATTATTAGGCTGCATGTAAACGTGGCTTTGCATGTTGTGCAAGGGAACTTACTCCATTGTTGTTTGTTTGTTATTTGGTTTTATGACTAGTTTGTGAAAATATAAAACAAACGTATTTCTAGATTTTTTTTCCTCTGACATCAGACAATAACAGCCCCTTTTTCCTGTTTTTCATGGATTTTGAAATGAAAATAGAATAAGTAAAGGTGTAAAGAACACCCCAAGCTCTGAAATCTGCTTCCAACAGCTCTTTTCAAACAGGAAATGTTTGACTTCCTCCTGGATGTACAAACTAAACTGGTCCAAACCGGTTTAAAGTGCAGACTTCAGCAGCATCTGTCTGAGTTTGACCGTCACAAATGACGTTTATAGAAAAATCAGAAAGATAATTACTTTTGTCTGAACAGCCTGAATTCACTTTCCAGCTTGATGATCTTCAGCTTATTTGTAATGTTTAAAATCATTTATACAGTCACACTTTTGCTAAAAGCAACATGTACCACTAAGTATTTTAGAGGTTTTCCAGGTGTGTGCCAGGCAGCTACTGTGGTATCCCAGATGGTTGCTAGGGTGTTGCTATGTTGCTGCTACGTTAACCCAAGTGGTTGTTACAGTGTTGCTATGAGGTTGGTATGGTTTTTCAAGTGGTTGCTAGGGTGTTGCAAGGTGGTTGCTATGCTATCCCAAGTGGTTGCTAGGCAGTTGCTAAGTTATCCCAAGTGGATGCTAATGTGTTGCTGTGAGGTTGCTGTGGTATCCCAGGTGATTGTTAGGGTGTTGATAGGTGGTTGCTATGCTTTGCAATGCTCAATCACTTGTAGTTCTGTTCTTTTTAGTTCTATTATTTTTAGGACAGAATGTCCCTTCAAAGTGATCGTCTGCCAGTTTGCATTACAACTGTTTTTTTGACTTGCATTGCAACTTATATTGTCCATTTATAACATTAAAAGAATAACAAATCACAATATAAATCACAATTTTATATAAACCTTTTATTTGATAAAAAGCAGTTTTTGGATTCTTAGTGATTTTTTCAAACATAAGGTCATCAGGATACAGAAGTCAAACTACAACACAAATCTGTTAAAATACTCTTGCAAAGCAGTAATAAAAGCTTAAGTGCTGGAGTTGTTTTTTCACGTTCGTATCTAAGTACCAACAGTTTTCTATTTAACATAATTTCTCATGTTTTAATGCAGCATTTATAATATTTCTTGCTTGCAATATCAAAGCTTTCTGGATTTGGTAACCCTTATAGAAACACACGAGCACATATCTCCAAAATAACTCCAGAATTTGTAGAACTATACAAACACAACACTCAGAGCTCTTTTATTATTCACTATAACAAACCATGCTGACCACATTGACCACCGCAGTCACTCCAAATGCACCCCATCGCACGTGTCCTTCGGGTCAATGAGTCTGTAAAGAGAGATGAGGTCATTAAGGTAATTCTGAATCAGAGCCAATAACACAGCAAACAAATCAGAGCTTCCAGTGAGAGAAGAATGATCTATAGCACAGTAAACAGATGTTTCCAGGTACGTAAACAGAACTGAGAGGAGAGTCTCACTTGTTTGTGTCGCGCAGAGCTTTCCGAGCCTCGCGCGCTTCATTCTCAGCGTAGATCTTCTTATAGCAATAAATCAGCACTCCGATCATCCACAGCTGCAGAACCACGATCAGAACGTACATCATGATCTCAGAGATCAACGCAGTCAGCTCACGATTCGCTGCACACAGGAGGGAACAGGACATCATCACCATCATCATCATCATCACCATTATCATCATCATCATCATCACCATTATCATCATCATCACTATCATCATCACCATTATCATCATCATCGTTATAATCATCGTCATCATCATCATCACTATTATCATCATCATCATCATCACCACCATCATTATCATCACCATCATCATCGTCATCACTATCATCACCTTTATCATCATCATCGTTATAATCATCGTCATCATCATCACCATTATCATCATCATCGTTATAATCATCGTCATCATCATCATCATCACTATCATAATCATCATCACCATCACCACCATCATTATCATCACCATCATCATCGTCACCATCATCATCTTCAACACCATCATCATCATCATCACCATTATCATCATCATCATCATCACCAGCATCATCATCACCATCATCACCATCATCATCACCATTATCATCTTCACCATCATCAACACCATCATCACCATCACCACCATTATCATCATCATCATCACCATTATCATCTTCACCGTCATCATCACCATCATCACCATCACCACCATCATCATCATCATCATCACCATTATCATCTTCACCGTCATCATCAACACCATCATCATCATCATCATCACCATCATCATCACCATCACCATCATCATCACCATCATCATCATCATCATCATCATCATCCCCATCATCATCAAGAAAGAAAGATAGTGAGAGAGAGGTAGAAAGAGTGGAAGACCAGAGAGAAAGTGAGAAAGAAAAAAGAGGGGTTGCAGATTAAGCCAGGGAAAGGAGAGAGGTAATAATAATTCAAATGTTGTTGTTATTATTATTATTATAAGGTGAATAGTGAGAGGTGAGATTCGGATGACATAAGAAAAAGTAATAATAATAATAATTAATTGGTGTTATTATTGAATCAAATTTATTGTACATCTATATAAGTATATTCATCTTATATGTCCATATTTATATTTTAATTATAGGTCTTAATTATAAGACCTGATAGATCAGGCGGAGAGACCTGATGGATCAGGAGGAGAGACCTGATAGATCAGATGAAAAGACCTGATGGATAAGAAAGAGAAATCTGATAGATCAGGAGGAGAGATCTGATAGATCAGGAAGAGAAATCTGATAGATAAGGAGAGATCTGATAGATCAGGAAGAGAGATCTGATAGACCAGGAAGAGAAATCTGATAGATAAGGAGAGATCTGATAGATCAGGAGGAGAGATCTGATAGATCTGATAGATCAGAAGGAGAAAACCTGACGGATCAGAAGGAGAGACCTGATAGATCAGATGAACAGACCTGATGGATAAGGAAGATAAGGAAATCTGAGAGATCAGGAGGAAACTGAACTGAAAGAGTTCAGTCTGTGAGCTGACGGTGAACTGAACAGTGAGGTGAATCTACAGCCTGTAAGATCAGCCTATAACAGATGATGTCACCTTCAGGCACCACTGCGAGCTCCACTGTCTTCTGGATGGTGACGTGTTGTTCTCCCGGAGGTAAGAAGAGCGTGCGCTCGAAGGTGCACGTGTAGGTTCCCGTGTCGTTGTAGGTGACGTTGTGGATGAAGATGGCGCCGATCTGAATGTCCGCCGTGCCCTCCGTCCCGTGCCACTCCAGCCGGCCCTCAAAGTCTTTGTGGAGGATGGTGGAGAGCGGGTATTCATAATGGAAGATCTGGGAGAGAGAGAAGCTCAGTTAGAGTGGAGTTACATACGGAGAGTCAAACTGTGGGCCTGAAGTTCTACCAGCCTACACAGCTTCATAGTGACACAGATAATCTTGAAGACACTGTTTAAAACTGAGTCCTGGTTATTTTGGTATGTTTCTTTTACTACAATACCCAGTATGCATTACGCAAATACAGCATATAACCGTTGGGAATCCCTGTGGTGTCACCCAATCCTGACTGCTAGCATAGCCACTGAGCTAATATATACAACCAAGCTAGCGTTAATGCACAGCTAAACATAAAAAAGCTAACTTTATTTAGTACAAAACGAACAACAGAGATGAGTTTTTATGAGCCAAACTGAGGTAAGATCAGAGCCAGTTTATGAGGAGCCTGGCCACTTCTTATTTTCCCCATTACATCAAAAACAGGACTGCAAAATGCCAGAGGGCGCCCACGAGCGAGTCCTCAATGAATGGGAGTAAATGGAGCTAAGGATGTATCTCACTAAAATAGCAAAGAAAACTCACCTGTATGTTTCATTTATTCTACAGCAAACAAGTTTTGGGCAGCAGGACGCTAACATTACTGCTACTGAGCGCTGACTGGCTGGCGAGCAGAGCAGCTCATTGGCTGTTCGGCTCACTGATGTCATGAACGTACATGAGGCTCCGTTTTAAACTCCTATAACTCGAGTTTAAAAGCTCTTAAAAATATAACAGCGGTGTTAAAATGTTTTATGCTCTGATTTTGTGATTTTGCTCAAATGCTCCTTCTTAACCCATTCATTTTGGACTCGCTCGGGAGCGCCCTCTAGCACTCGAGAAACCCAGAAGACGTTACAGAGTGGTCTCTACAAGTTCTTTGGTGAGATAGCTAGATAGCCAGGTAGCTAACTTGCTAACTGTAGCTTTTAGCTTGCTGTCCTTTAGCATGAGTCATTTCTGTGGTTTGAGTGATTCGTTCTCTCCACTGTAATGATGATTTGAAGATAGTTACTAACTTACAGTTAAACAGCTGCAGTAAGGTATTGAACATCCTAGCATTAGCATTAGCGTTAGCTATCTGCCTTCATTCTGTATGGGCACTTATTTTTCAGAAAATGTTTACCTGCTTATTCTGGGTTATTAGTTCTCCAGCAGTTGTTCTCTGGGTTTATTATGACAAGGACTCTAATAGAGAAAGAAGAACTAGGCTTTCTTTTCATTTTATTTTCTTCGTATTTATGTGTTGTTCAGGAAGAACTCAGTTGGAGCTCAGGCGTAGCCAAGCCCAGAGCAAACTCTTAGACTATAACTCTCTTTACACAGTGTGGCTGGGCTGGTTTCAGCCTTTAATAAAGCACAACGACTCTTGCAGTAACCTCCCATATGGAAAAACATATATGGACATGTATTTTTATGCATTTCAATTGCAGTCGATGCTGAAATACATTCCAAACACTAAACTGTATTTCAGAATATTTTACCATATTAACCAAATATTATTCAAATACATTTCTTTTAAAATGGATGGGGAAATATTACACATGGAAATGTACCATACAAAAATAAACGTATGTAAATGTGTTTATCAAATCCATTGAAAATGTATGAGAATATCCAGAATCCTGTCTGATGCTCTTCACTGTCTGATACCTTTAGAAATGAGTTTGTGTTCCAGTATCTTCATTTTAAATCTGATCAAATGATCCTTTGACAGGACAGAAGCGAGTGTTGTGGGTATTGATACTCTGTGAAAATGCAGTTATGATCTGATATCTTGTTTATGTGAAATACATTGTGTGTGAGAGTCTGACTGCAGACGTACTGATTAATGTAAAGTACAGTGCAGATCACAGAAGAACGTTTAGTTACATCTGGAACCTTCATTACACTCAACTGAACACAGATAATAACTAATACTAATAAATGCATTTTAAATATATATTTAACAAATACATTTTTGGGCCATTTTCATACTGTGCCAGATGTCTAAATGGGTGCATTTACCAGCTAGAAAGATTCCAAAACTCTGCCCCAAAAATCCAGCCCAAAGCAGCTGCAGTGTTTTAGAAAAGCTCCTCCTACCTTCAAGATACATCATCAGAAGGGAGTTTTCTAGTCTTTAAACTGGGAAGTCTCACTCTAGAGATACTGCAGCACAGCTATAGGGGGTGAGTAGGCATTTTGACAGATAAACGTTTTACAACAGATATAGTGATGGTTACGTTTTTCAATTTTGGCTGGAGTGCCCCTTTAAGTGCTGTGAGCTGCAGTGGTGATGCTGTGATCCTTGTTTAACTCTGTGAACACTGTATAATGTAATGTTTGTAATGTAGTGACTGACACTCACATGGTAGAACTCGTCTGTCCCATCAGGTTTAAAGTGCCAGTCCACAGCGGTCTCTCCAGACACCTCCTCCCTCCGCTTACACGAAATACAGCCCAGCATGAAGCTCTCACCAGCCACCGCCTCGGTCATAGAGTCCACCTCCGCACAGCCTGCATGGCACTGAGGGGCTGCACACAAACAAACAGAACAGAGTCAAACTCCCAATTCCCTCTCAGTTCCCAATAGATTATCTGCACTTGATCAAATAATAACAATATAATATAAACACTGAAAATATTTAAGTAAAAATAGCTATTTCTATTCATTTAAAATATTCTTTTGATTTTGAATTACCTTCATTCCTTAAAAAAAAACTTTATTTAGAAATATCCCTATACATTATCCACAGATGTTCAAACCTCCAAAACCAATAATGGCTGGTTGTGATCTTTGGGCGCAATGATGTCTGTTAAAACAGACATCATTCTGTAGTGGGAAATCACTGCATGGGCTCAGAAACATTTCCGAAAATCACTGTCTGTGAAAACAGTTCATCACTGCATCCACAAATGCAAGTTGCATTATACAAACAGAATCTAGAAATGCTGCCGCCTTCTCTGGGCCTGAGCTCATTTAAACGGACTGAGTGGAAGTGGAAAAGTGGAAGTGGAAAAGTGTCCTGTGGTCCGACGAAGTTCCATTATACAAAACAGAATCTAGAAACGCCGCCGCCTTCTCTGGGCCTGAGCTCATTTAAACGGACTGAGTGGAAGTGGAAAAGTGGAAGTGGAAAAGTGTCCTGTGGTCCGACGAATCAACATTAGAAATTCTTTTTGGAAATCATGGACACTGTGTCCTCCGGGCTACAGACCATAAGGCTTGTTGACAGTGCACAGTTCAAAAACCAGAATCCATGATGGTCTAGGGTTGCATTAGTGCACATGTTTTGGCAACACATGCTGCCATTCAGACAACGTCTTTTTCAGGGAAAGGCCTGGATTATTTCAGCAAGACAATTCCAAACCACATTCTGCACATATTACAGCAGTATGGCTCTGTAGTAAAAGAGTCTGGGTGCTAAACCGACCTGCCTGCAGTCCAGACCTGCTACCACGGATAACATTTGGTGCATTATCAAATGAAAAATACAACAAAGGAGACCCTGAACTGTTGAGCAGCTGAAATCTTGTGTCAAAAAAGAATGGGAAAACATTTAACTTTCTAGAGTTCAGCAATCAGTCTTCTCAGTTCCCAAACGCTTACAGAGTGTTGTTAAAATAAGAGGTAATGCAACACAGTTTTTGAAGCATGTTGCTGGCATCAAATTCAAAACGGGCATATATTTTTCAAAAAACAATAAAATTTCCAGTTTCAACATTTGATATGTTGTCTTTGTGCTGTTATCAATTAAACGTAGGGTTTAAATGATTTGCACATCATTGCAACTTTTTGGAAACAGGGCTGTAAAAGGATTATCATTTAGAAATACTCAGGAAAGTACAAATAAGTCAAAACACCTACATGGAAGTAAATGGAGAAAATGTACAATATTACATTTTCTCCATTAACTTCCTACAGTTCCTACAGTTATTACTAGAGTTGTATTGTAACTATACTTACAATAAAACTCTAGTAATAACTCTAGGAATTCCCAAAGTTCTACAGTCCAGCAGTGAATGAATATTGTTTCAGCTTGATTTAGGCTAACCATTGCTGGGCTTAAAAGGACACTCAGGCCAAAGTAATGAAAAGTGTAATCCCTGTTACATCTGCTGTAAACATTACTCAGCATCTATAGCGCTTCAGTAGTTTCTACAGTGAGATTTTCCTGTTTAAAGACTGGAAAACCCCCTTCAGATGTTGCATCTTGAGGTTATGAGGAGCTCTTGAAGAGCTGCAGCTGCTTTGGGGGCCATTTTGAAATGTTTTGTTTGTTAGCTGGCTATTTCAGAACAAAGGCAGATAGCTAGCGCTACTGCTAGCTTTATTACAGCTGTATTACTGTAGTAACCGCCTTCCAATCATCATTACAGTGGAGAGAATGGATCACTCAAACCACAGAAATACATCAGAAGAGGAGGACAACAAGCTAAACGCTAAAAGCTACAGTTAGCGTGGTAGCTACCTGGCTATCTAGACATCTCCCTTAGTCTGACTCCTTTTGTCTGACTGAAAGGGTAAAAACTCGTCTCTGGTGTTTATTTAGATAGAAACAGTGTTTTCTTCATGTTTTTGTTTGACAGCTGAGGTGAGAGTTGTGCTTACACTAGCTTGTTTGTCTGTATCAGCCTGTAGCTCAGTGGCTAGGCTAGCAGTCAGGATTGGTTGGCACCAGAGGGATCCCCAATGGTTGTCTGATGTATTTGCACAATGCATGCTGGGTATTGTAGTTAGACACTGTGCCACAGGATACTGGGGAACAAATAGTATATTCAACTGTAGTTTTAGGCCAGAGTGCCTCTTTAATACGGACCTATATTCTAACTAAAACATCAGACGCATGAGAGTCTAATTCATATTATATTACACTACACTAAATACGGTTCTTCAAAGGTTCTTTAGTAAAGCAAATGGTTCTATATAGAACCATGAACACTCAAAGGACCCTTTGCATGATTTTAGGGTTCTTTGCATCATGAAAGCGGTTCCTCAGATTGATGGAGAATGTGTTGTAGATGGTTCTATATGGAGCCCTTTTTGAAAAGGGTTCTATACAGCACCAAAAAGGGCTCCACTATTGCTACAGAGCCCTTTTTGGTACTATATAGAACCCTTTTTGCTAAGAGTGTACTTGGTTCTCCAAAGGATGTTTCTCTAGAAGGATCTTTAAAGATGTTGTAAATGAGTTGTGTGAGTACGAGGAACCTTTTTAAGGTTTAAAGATCGTCCACATAATGTAAACATTCCATACCAGTTAAAGGCTTTTCCCAGAACCGTATGTCCAAACTGAGAACCATTTAACATTTATTTTTAAGGGTGTAGGTTAATGAAAATAAGACTAATTATTATCAAAATAATTTTTTATGGTCACATATTTAAGAAGAAAACTTACCGCATATAAAAACCACACAAAGGACCAAAAATGAGTCAATTTTCAGAGACATTTTCAGAAGAATCACTTCAAAGTCGCCCACTGAGGTCCGTCCTGAATGTTTGTGTCCTGAAGGTTTTATTGATTCTGCTTAGCGGCCACTGTTGTGCAATGTTAGTCACATTTCCTCTCCGTCTGCTGTCAGTTATTCTTCTTCTCCAGCATTTTCACTGCGCAGTTCAGTTTCATACATTCAGCTGAGAATTCTGTTCTAGCTCTTTTTCAGCTATTCCACCAAACCTCTGAAAATTCCAGTTAAATCCAGTGCAGGTTTTTTTGCGAGACTGTGCTCACAAGCCTGTTCGGGTCTAAGTTTAGACCGTGTGAATCCTCATGTCTTAATATGACACCCTGTCACACTGCAATCCAAGGCGGAATTTGAGCAGTCAGGATTGGGTCGAGGGGCTCCCAGCATTAACGTGCCCATATCCTACATTTCATGCATTCTATTTTGCCCTCCTGAGGTTCATTTGTAACATTTTGTGTGGTTTATGTACCAAAAACAGCCATAATTCACCTTTACATGACTTCTCTTTACCCCTTAGATAGTTTGTTACTGTGTCTTTAAGGCTGATATATGTAAACAGGCTCTGTTCTGATTGGCTGCTCTGTATTCTGCCTCATTAAGACAGCAGTCTGGGCTGAAACATTCCTTATAACGAATTTTGTAGGACTGAACTGCTGTAAGCTGAATGGGCATCATTCGGAAATGTGCTTATGTTTGTGACATGACAAAAACAGTGCTGTATTTAGCTTAGCTTCTAAATATACACTGTACACATGACATTAAACCTGTTCATTTTATTTAAAAAGAACAAGGGTCTTTTTTTTCTTTTGAAACAGGCCCTTTAAGACGCAGAGCAAATGATGATAAGCTAAAAAGCCAAATTAGCCTCACCGAAAGCTTTAAGCTGTTTGGGAACTAAATGTCCCTGGCCTGAAGGAAACTTATCAGCATCTGCTTGTTTATAGGTGTTTTGTTTATTCAAATTTGTGTGTGCAGAACATGGGAATAATCGCATCCTCGTGATACTGAGGCCTAGGATTTAGTCAGTAATTATCTAATAAACAGACACTGTAGCTGTTAGATATTTACATTTAAGTTTATATCTATTAATATAGCTGAAATATCGCTAGACTAGAGCTACTTACAAAAGGTGCTGATACTTTTATAAGTGAAAGTGGATGTTTGATATAGATATCAGACTCTCTAACAAAGTACAAGGCTTAGAATTACATTTTTGGAGACTATTTGGTCAGTTGGGCCTGTCAGTGTGCAACAAATGTAAATTTGAGCTGAGTGCAGTTACAAAGAACAGCCACTGGGTGGAGACATTGAAACGGAAATGGACCACTTTTAGGCAAATACACTCAGCAGGCTCTTTATAGGTAGATAGATTCACCTTCATTGTTGTTTCTTAGCATAAGTAGAAGGCAAAGACACGCAGTTAATGCAAATAGGAACAAAGTGCAAGTGTAATATTATCCATAGATACTATTTACAATTTTCTTTAAATCTAAATATATACGTGTAAATTTGTGTAGTACAGATTCATATGTATATATCTATTTACATACATATGTATATAGGCAGATAGATAGATAGATAGATAGATAGATAGATAGATAGATAGATAGATATAGACATATAAGGTACAGAATGGTGGTGATTTTGGTGTATTGACTTGTGTGTCAATACAAGAAGGGTCTGGGTTCACTTCCCCGGCTGGGTAACCAGGGTCCTTTCTGTGTGGAGTTTACATGTTCTCCCTGTGTCTGTGTGGGTTTCCTCCGGGTTCTCCGGTTTCCTCCCACAGTCAAAAGACATGCAGACCAATTGCAGACACTGTGTGTGTGTGTGTGTACATCTGTGTCTTTGCCCTGTGATAGACTGGCAACCTGTCCAGCATGTTTCTTGCCTTCTGCCCAGTGAGTGCTGGGATGAGTTCCAGCTCGCCCCACAACCCAGGAGGATAAGTGGTTTAGGAGATGAATGAACAAATAAATGAATATTGTGTGCTGTATATACATCAGTGCTCTACCAGTGCAGTGTAGATTTTAAGCGTGGCGCTTGCTGGGAAGAAGCTGTACCTGAGCCGACAGGTTCTGGCCTGGATGCTCATGTATCTCCTCCTGGATGGAAGGAGGTTGTACAGGTTGTGGCTGGAGTGGAAGGGGTGCAGACAGCACTGCTGGGCACTAGTGGCGTTGATCTGGGCCTTCCTGTCAGCCACAGTGGAGCTGCCACTCTGTCACACAGTCGGTCAGGATACTCTCAATAGTAAAAGTTGGTGAGAATCTGAGGAGACAGACCTTTTTCAGTCTCCTCAGGAGGTAAAGACGCTACTGGAGGTGCTGAAGTTCCAAGACAGATCCTCAGAGACGTGGCCGGCCAGGAACAAAGGGGAAAATTTTAACCACCACTCCTTTTAACTCTGTTCCAAGGGGCAAGGAGACACTCGTAAACAAGGGGTAGGGGTAAAAATAAGAAACGGGATTGGGCCTTAGTGCAGTCTATTCAGTATTCACTACAGTACATCACCACTTTTTCAAAGTGTTTTGCCCAGCTCTGTGTATCTTCACTCTGGCGTGATGCGGTGATAAGAACTCTCAGCACCGCCTGTTTTCCAAAAATGCAAAAAAGAAGCAAAACTATTCAAAATGTCAAACAGGCAGGTCTTTTGTTCTCCAGGAGCACGGACAGCCATATACCCTTCAACAACGGCCATATGCAAATAAATAAACATAAAAACACGTCTGATTACGAGTTCTGACGCTCACAGTGAAATTCTCGTGTAGGCTGGAGTATCATATCATCTTAGATTTTCCAAATGATCTTAAATTCCCTAAAAAAGTGTCTTGAAAACTAGAATAAAGCACAGATATAATACAAACCTGTTATTCTGCTGTTTAGGTCCAGTTCCATTTCTTATTTTTACTCCTACCCCTTGTTTTTGAGTGTTGCCCCTTGGAACTGAGTTACAGGGTAGTGGTTGAAATCTTCCCTCTGAAATGGGACCCTCAAATAAAAAGAGCATCACTTCATTAACAGCTACCAGCGCTGCTCTGTAGGCGACCCTGCCAGTCTGCAGTGACAGCAGAGGAGGGTAAAGTTCAGCTCCTCACTGCTGGGCTTTAGTTACATTTAGGACATCATATGCCTTCAAAGAGGGGGGCAATTATTTATTATCACCCACCCCTAATTCTTCAGTGATATGAAGCTGAAGTCAGATATTCTCCAACTTCTTGTCCGAATTTTCCCGTTCCCGTATAAAACCATTTAAGGTGGAACGGGAAATTTAGCTAGCTACTGAGACACCCGTAGTTATTTTTTATGCTTGTTATGAAGAAAAGGACCAAAATACACTGAAACAACATTAAACTAAGATAATAAGATGGTTATCATGATTTTTAACCTCCGTTTGGAGGGTCATGTAGCCCCAACACTTCATCGGGACACCCTACCCCTAGATGAGAACGTGTTAAACGGAGGGGTAGGGCTGAGTGGTAGGGGTGAGGGGTGAAATGGGACTGGGCCGTAATCTTGATGATTAAAGGACCCCTGTCTTACATTTACGACACAGTGGTCAGTTAATGCATCAAAACATTTCTACAGGACCATTTCCAGCCTCTCTTTACCCCTCAGAATGGAACTGTTTTTGTTACTGTACCTTTAAGACTGATATATGTAAATGAGCTCTGTTCTGATTGGCTGCCTCGTTCAAAAAGAAGTCCCAGGCTGAAACACTTATAACGTCAGGTGAACTGGTTAACATTTGGGACGGACAGAACGCTGTGGACTCAGAACTCTTCCTGAAGGCTGACTTGTTTTCTTTTCAGAGAACCGAGGCTCGCGGTGTCAATGTCAGTTTGTCCAGTCTCGAGCACAAGGACGTTCCACGAGAACACAAGGTTAATAAAACGTCCTTTATGCACGAGATGTGCTCACAGCACTGATACAGAACGAGCTACTGTCAGAGACTCAGATGAGCTCACTGCAATACAAGAATGCAACAGACGGGCATTTTTACCTAGAACACACCAGCTGTTTGCATGATTAAAGGGTTCTTTGCATCCTCAAAGGGTTCTACACTTTGATGGAGAATGTACTGTAGATGTTTCTATAAAGAACCTTTTTGAAAAGGGCTCTATATAGGACCAAAAAATGGTTCTGCTACACTTACATCAAGCTCGTAACAAAAGAAGAACCCATTTTGAGGCTATATAGAACCATATACAACACATTCTCCATCAATCTGCAGGACTCTTTCACGCCGTAAAGAACCCTTTAATCGTGCGAAGGGCTCTTCAGGGTTCTATATAGAACCATTTTCTTTTCTAAAGGATCCTTGAAGAACCAACCTTTTTAAGAGTGTATGCACTGCGTAAATGTTCTAGAGCAGGGGTGCAGAACTCCGGTGCTGCAGGGCCGGTGTCCAGCACAGTTCGGAGGTTGCCCTGCTCAAACACACCCACTTAACCTGGCAGTTAACAGGTGAGTGTAATCAGGTGTGTTTCAGCAGGTAATCACCAAACCGTGCTGGACACCAGCCTCCAGGACCGGAGTTGTGCACCCCTGTTCTAGAGGTAGACATCAAGTATGCATCAGCTAGACGTTCTAGCTGGAACAGAAGAGTGCACTAGCTAAGTGGCCTAGTTACAATTCAAGTAAACATCATCTGAGCCTTTTAGTTAGAACTCACCACGCAACTCAGTGTACGCAACAGTGAGAACGCACTCTGCTGAAAACAGACCATTAGAACCATTAGGATTAAAAGCTGATGGTTTTGCTTTTTTAATGGGAATAGGCTTAACGGTTACTGTTAGAGAACAGTAGACCTCACTAGACCCCTTTACACTTTTAATGGTTTTTTCAGCAGGCCAAGTAAACACCTGCTAAGCTTTGTAGCCGGAACTGAAGTACACGCCTCCCCAGCTAGAAGTTAGGACTCAAGTATGTACTAGCTAAGTGTTCTAGTTAGAGCTGAAGTGTGTGGACATTCTACTTCGAACAGCAGAACGCACCTGCTGTGCTCTAGTTTGAACTCAATGCATCAGCTAAGCTTTCTAGATAGAAGCTAAGAACACACTAGGTGTTCTAGTCGGAACAGAAGAATGTGCTAGCTAAGCCTTCTAGTAAGAACTTAAGTACACATTAGCAAAGTGTTCTAGTTACAACTGAGTGTATGCACTAGCTAAATGTTCTATTTAGAATTCAAGTGTGTACCCAGCTAGACATTCAAGTTAAAACAGATGAACACACTAGCAGTGTTCTAGTCAGAACCTAAGGATGCACCAGTTAGTCTAGTTAGAACTCTAGTAGAGCACTCAAGCCTTATAGTTAGGACACAAGTATACTGAAGCTAGATGTTCTAGTTACAACAGGAGAACACACTAGCTAAGGGTTCTAGTTAGAACTCAGGTATGCACGACCTAAGCGTTGTAGTTAGAACTCAAGTGCGCACCAGCTAGATGTTCTTGATAGAAGAACGCACTAGGTAAACTAAGCTGAGGGTTCTAGTAAGAACACAAGCACGCAGTCCAGGGTCGGGGGTCGCAGATCATGGACCTTGAATGTTGACGTCAAACTTTAGGAACGCAAGCGGGGCTGGCGCACATGCGCACAGCTCTACGCGCGCCTGTTCTCCCTGTCCCGGCTCCCACGTGCCTGTGTTTATATATTTAGCCCCGCGGGCGCGCGTTCAGACGCTCCTCGAGCTCCGGAGGGAATCCAGGAAGAGTATCGCGTTCAACTGGTTCAGCATCGAGACGGAGAGCGGGAGGAGGAGACGAGCCGAAACTCATCCGGAGTGAGTGGAGCAGAGTTTTGCGCCAGGCTGCAGATTCTTCTTGGAATTCTCCGTCCCACCTTAAATGGTGCAGCGCCAGAATGGGAACTGCTGCACCATTTAAGGTGGAACGGAAAATTCAAAATAAAACCCAGTTTCAGCCTCGTCGAAATCTGGAATCCTGGAACTTGCAACGTCACTAAATAGTGAATCTTACGCACTGTAATATTTTGGTACGGTTACACTTCAGGCTTCTGTATTTCAGCCCTTCTGTTTCCAATAAAGCAAGGTGACCGTACCCTTGGTCAGAAGTGGATATCAGGCGCGTGCCGAGCAGATGAACACGAGCAGCATGATAATAAACAACAGCGCTGGAGCCACACGTGAAGGTGAGCAAGCATGTGCACTTTTTCATCCTTTTCTACTTATCTATCTATCTATCTATCTATCTATCTATGTATTTATTTATTTATTTATTTGGCAAGCTGTAATTTTAATTTGACGAAACTGCAGGCCTATACGGTCTATAAACTAAATAAAATATACACACTTTATAAACCAAACCATAGAGAGCACTTCTAGTAGCAAACAAAGCCCCCAAGGTGTTAATTAAAAATATAATGCGCTGGTTATAATATATATATAGACTCAAATAAGCTCTGCATTAAAATTTTAAAGTTAAAGTCTTATTATATTTAACAATAAACTAGCGCACCTGGATCTGCACTGAATGAGAGAAGTTGGTCAAATAAAACAGAAATAGCAGTTTGTTTTATTATTTTTTATTTTTTACTTCTTAAAAACTTTCTAAACGTTTAAAAAGTTGTCTTACGGTTATTAAGCCTTTATCATGTTCATAATATACAGAGTTAGCCGTTTAATATTCTGTATCTTACGTTCTCGGCAGTCTGATTCAATCGTCCAATCATTTGTCTTGGACCCGCCCACCTAGCGCTTCTCTCCGGTGCCATTGGCCAGCTCGCCTGTCTGTCAAAAACATCCGTTACTTTTTCTGTTTGCGTACATGTTGTCGACGCTACCATAAAGTTAAGGCGGGCGGGGGGTGTTTGTGTTGTGTTTAGGAGTGAAAAAAGACAGAAATGTGTGCCCAGTTGTGTCCGTTTCAGCGTGAAAATGGCCAAAATAGAGAAACATTTTTAGAAAATGCTAAAAATGACTCCCATTTCGCGAAATATTCCGCATTAGTTCGTATTGTTTTCCGTGAACCCCCCCTACTCCTAAACTTTTGTTCGACTTAATGGAGACTTGCTATAGCTACATCGTATTGTGTGGAATTTAAGTTTCTCAAGAAAGGTTTGACAGGATAAGTTGATTAAATCACTTATTTATTGTCTCAGGAAGCGAGAATGGCGCTGTTTAATGTGAATAGTCAAAGTTAGAGCCTGAACAGGCAGGAGGAGTGCGGTGACCGCAAACCGTTCACTGTGAACTAGCTAACGTTCAGCAGCTGGCCGGCTATTTGTGATGGTTTCTTCACTTTAATTCGCTTCGCGGCTGATATAACCTCAGATATTAAACCAAGCACTCGAGGAGTTTCACTACAGGCGTTCATAAGAAGATACTGTGAAGAAACATTGGATTGTAGAGCAGATTTGGCTGTAGGCTGAGCTAGAGGAGCTGTAGGGAGCGAGTTGTGGAGGATGCTGATGTGCTCCAATGAGAAAGTGGAGTTTAATGTCAACAAACGGCCTGAACAGGACAACCGAAATGGGGGGAACTCATCAAACGGCAGGTAGGACTGAGTTATTAGTCCATTTCCATGCAGTTTTGGAGTCTAAACACTTAAAAAAAAGATGTTTCATCAAGGGTTCTTTAGTGAAGTAGAACCATGAGTTCTACACACTTAAAAAATGGTTCTTCAAGGGTCTTTAGTAAAGAAGATGGCCCTGTACAGAACCATGAACACTCAAAGAACTGGGAAAAGGGTTCTTTGCGTCCTGAGGTTTTTCAGATTGGTGGAGAATGTGCTTATGGTTCTGTATATCACCAAAAAGGGTTCTTCTGTTGTTTCAAGCTTGACATCAATGTGAAGAACCCTTTCATGATGCATAGAACCCTTTAATCATGCAGAGGATTCTTTGAGTGTTCATGGTTTTATATAGAATCATTTTCTTTACTAAAGAACCCTTGAAGAACCATCTTTTTTTGAGAGTGTATGCTTAAATGGTTCTTTGCATGGTGAACTGGTTCTTCAGATTGATGGAGAATGTGTTATATATGGTTCTATATAGCAACAAAACCAAAAAGAGTTCTTCTGTCATTACAGTGTCAAGCTTACAACAGTAGAACATATATAGAACCATATACAACTCATTCTCCATCAATCTGAAGAACCATTTCACCATGCAAGGAACCATTTAAGCATGCAGATGGTTCTGTATAGAACTCGTGGATCTAAATAGAACCATTACCTTTATTTAAGAACCCTTGAAGAAGCATCTTTCTAAGCGTGTGTGCTGGAAATGCTGATGCGGGTTTGGTGCTTTAAAGCTTGGCTGTATGTTAATATGAAGGAGAGAAGTGTTCACGTGTTGTTGTTGTCTGATAATGAGGTTATTTATATGCTCTTTTGAATGAATCAGTGAATATTAGCTACAACAGAAGCATCGCTGAATGAATCGTGAATGAATCAGTAAAGTACAGAAAGTAAAATGATTTAAATGGTTTTCTCTTAGCAGTAAAGTGTTTTCTGCCTGTAAAAAACACAATATGACATTAGAATAAATACAAATAAGTGTAAATACAGCAGTCAGGATGTGTTGTTTTCAGGAAAGGTATTGAGATGCTGGTTAGTAGAACACAGGCTTGGTTCCTGACTTGCTGCAAAGCCGTCGCATGGATTCGTTCAGTTCTGTCAGATTCAATTTAAAGAAGGATTGAATACATAAACTAGGTTTGGGATGAAAACAGTTTGGGATATATGATGATATGGGAAGCATACTGGTATCAGGAGATAGTTGCACTGAAAAAAATCAGCTTTGGACGTTCCGATGTGGCCAATTCTTCTCCATATAACTCCAGAGGAGCTTTATGTTTGGTTGACAGTTACTGTACTGAAATATCTGCATATCATTTTACTTCATTTGTAACCAGGGGTGGTCAAGCGGTAGTTAGCATTATCAAGATATGGTGAGGTTAGGTGTTTTTTTTTCAGCATGCTCCTTTAAAACGTATCAATCATCCTATGTATTGTTATAATATTAGCATCATTAAATGAATCATTGATCTCTATCTATCATAACTGACTGAGTAAGATGAAGGTAAGCTTATATGACTTTAAGACCCCGTTTACACCTGGTCACTTCATGCGTCTTGAGTATCAGGATTGCGTCTGAATGAGGCCACATAAAAATGTGAGTGTAAACACGTTAAAAATAGATACTAATCTGATCACTCAAACCACTTCAGGGGGTGGACTGAGACACGTGTTATAGCAGCGTAAACACATCCGTCTCTCCAAGACGCATTCAACAACCACACTCCTCTCAGTGCAACAGAAACCCCTCCCAGTACAACCAGCTGTACTGTTGTAACTGTGAAACTCAGAGGCGACACACAGCCTCTGGTAACGTACCATTAACTTATCACCAGTAGGGATGCACGATGATATCAGAATCATGTCGGTATCGGCCGATAATTGCCTTTTTAAAGGTAATCTGCATTGGGCTGATGCTTAAGATTTGGCCGATATTTTAAAGCGATATGTAATGATCCTATTATTGTGTGATCCTGTAATGTTTAGGTGACGCTAAGCGCGGCTAAAATGTCTCTCGCAGCACTGCGCACACGCAAAACCTGCAGCTACTCAGCCGGTAGATCAGCTGCTTCAGTAATAAGGTGAATTCGACAAAACAGCCCAAAAATTACAGCTAAAACAGCAAAGGTGATGGAATTTACGACTCTGGATGCTCATTCTCAGTTCTGGAGGATGTTACACCACGTTACACCAAACCCAGTCATCATTTTTCCAACGTAGCCTTTCCTGTAGCTGTACATATAGCGGCATATTCACAAGGTCATTGACGATAATGTGGCATCCTTTAGCCTTACTGCAGACGCTTGGACGTCTGACGTGAGCTCTGTGAGAGCCAGGCTCAGAATGTAACTGCTGCACCATTTAAGGTGGAGCTGGAAAATTCAAACAAGAAGCTGGAGAATAAGAAGCTGACCTCAGCATTGTACGGTCTAAGTCACCTTATCAGAAAATGTGACCAGCATTAAATGAATAATAAGGATATTTTGATTGATCAGTCAGCTTGTCGGGGGTAAGTAGTGATATTGCGTTGCGCAGCGTGGCGCGTCCAGAGTGTGGTGGCCTTTACAGAAGGCACCTTTTCATGCCCAAGATACGTAGATAAAGGTATGTACATGTGAAATATCAGATATTGGCATCAGCCCAGAATTCCCATATCGGTGCATCCCTAATCACCAGCACAGTGTGATGCTCTAAAGCTAAAGTAGTGCTTTACTGGAACTGTTTCCATTATAAGAGGTAAATGTCTATGTTTACTGCATGTAATGTGTTCTCCAGACATGCGACTCTCATCTACATGCTTAATTTGATTTTTTTTGCTGACTTATACTGCAGCCATGTGCTAAAGGCAAGCTTGTTGCCTGTCAGACAGTGCTGACGAGCACACCAGCGCCCCCTAATGTGAGCTCTACATTCACAAGATGTTAAATTGGTTTAGAAATTTCACCCTCACCCTAATAAGTCTGTGTTCACCCCACATTAGTTCAGTACAGTATAATATTATATTATAATGTATTGTTATGATATTACAGCATTGAGTGAATTATTGCTGTGGCTCTGTATCAGTCATAACCACTGGTAATGTAAGGTGAAGGTAACCTCATGTGACTTTAAGAGTCCTGTGCTAATTTATGAGGGTTAATTATTGTTTTTTCAGTGTAATCTTTTCCGCTTTTCCCTTTTTTGAATGAGTGATGTGTGGAGTCCACCTGTCAGTGTGTGTAGTTTCTCCATCATGATAAGAACTCATTAAAAATCGTCGCTCTGTGGTCTAAGTGAGTGATTTTTCTGGCCGGCCTCCATTGTCAGTGTTTGCAGGTATTGGTTGGGGTGATTTATTCCCACGTGGTGTGATTTACAGGGCAGTAAAGAGCGGCAGGGCAGCGCCTGGATTACTCTGAGCAAACAGAAGTGAAGCAGAGATTCAGGCTGAACAAACAGACGAGCAAACACAGGGACGCGTTTCTGCCTTGTCCATTACAGATCGGCCATGCTGTGCGGAAACCCAGGGAGCGCGCTCGTAAAAGCGTCCCTGTGAGGAGTTCGCCGATGTTTGTGCCGGAGCTCAGACCTGTTTGTTTCTGGCTGAACTGTTAGGAGGATCATATTCCACTGTAATTTATTTCCACATGACCGTTTTCCCACATCTCTTTGTACCAGAGTTAAACAGGCTGTTTTATTTCTGTGTCTTTAAGACTGAAATATGTAAATGAGCTCTGTTCTGATTGGCTGGTTTGTATTGTGCCTCAGTCATAAAGCAGTCCAGGCTGAAATGTGGATCAAACTGTTCAGACTGAAATCCTCCAACTTCATCTGCTAAGCTCCACCCCATCAGAGAGAGAGAGAGAGAGAGAGAGAGAGTGTGAGAGTCCTCTCCTGCACTTTTCCTTCTCTTAATCATAAGAAGTCGTAGTTTTTGTCAGCAAAAACAAAAACATGTTGTAATTTCATATTAATTACTCCCAACAGCCACGAACAGCACAGCGTTTAATCGTCTTCCAATAACTCTGATATACAGACTGTCTGCAGGAACAACACTCCACATCACTTCAGTGAAAATGGGCGGGGCCAAACTGCCACAGTATGAGTGGGAGGGGCTAAACTGCTGTAGGCTGAATGGGTGGGCCTAAACTGCTGTAAGCTAATCACATGATCATATGCAAATGTGTTTATAGTTGTGACATCACTGGTCACTGCTGGTGTTGTTCTGATTTGGTTGGTTGATTAGGGTCCTTTGGTAAAGGCAATGTTTCTATTTAGAACCAAGATTTCCATACAGAACCTTTTGTGTGTTCCTGGGTGTGTGGAGAACTGTTGTCTTTACTAAAGAACCCTTGAAGAACCGTCTTGGTAGTAAAGTAGCTGATTGCTTAGCAGCACATTAGAACATCATCTTATTTTAAACATTTATTTTTACCATTTTGTTTGGTTTTTCCTTATAAGATTGTTTAGATTTGCGAACATTGAATTAAAATTTCAGGCATTGTGATGTTATATTTTATACCTTTATATGTTAGAAAGAACCACGACTTAGTCCTCATAGGCTAGAATTAACTGAATATGTAGCTACACTTTCACGTTCCGTTATTTTATTTTATTTATTTATTTATTTATTTTTGTTCACCCTTATTAGCTTTAAGATGAGCAGATAGAAAACTCAGACAAACCTCTAAGATTTGGCGTGAAAAAAGAACCATTCAGTGATTCAGCAGTATTATTAAGCGTTCTCTGACAGGACGTCTTAATGCCTTGGGGGCTGTTTAAGCCAATATATATACTTAAATTATCAGATTAAATAATAAAAATAAAAATCCCAAACTCTCATTCGGTGGTTTCCTCATATGAACCAGCACTTCATGACAAAACTCTGTGAGCTGTGATTGTTCAGCGGGCCTTAAGGAACAGTTTAATCATCTGGGGACTGTTACAGAAATTTAAAGGGGAATTCCACCACTTTTTCAAAATCCCCCTATAACTCA